CAGGCACCACATGAACAATCTTCAGAAACATCGAATGAGGCGAATCCTCTCCCGTGAACCGTGAACTTCCTGAATTAGTCAGAGAAACTCGTTGAGTGCGCAATCCCATCCAGAGAGAATCAGCCCTAATCATCTGAAACTCAACAAATCATCTTACAGATCACCACCGTAAGCCACCACAAGCCACCACAAACCACCACTCGACCTGTTCATCATGATTGTTAGGAGGCACGTCGTGCACGACATCGCCGACCTGAGAGACGCAAACGGCCGCGACGGGTGGAGGCCGGAGGGTGCCCTGCATGAAGTGGGGGGTTCAGTGGGTCAACGGGCACCATTGATTTGCTGATAACAAAAACTTGTTGCTAACTGAAGTCCCACCACCACCACCACCACCCACCACCCACCACCACCCACCACCCACCACCCACCACCCACCACCCACCACCCACCACCCAAACCCTCAGCTTAAGAGCAACGCAGTAGGCACATGAGTACGTATGATAATGGTGGTGGTGATGATGATGAGGTGGTGGGTGGTGGAGTCTGAACAGCAAGGGCAGCATTAAGTTTTGAACATTTTTGTGAAATGGAACATCCATGAATATCGTGAATATCCATCATTTAACACTAGATATCATTTTTCCATGAAGTAGAGTCTTGACACCTCGGACCAATAGGATCAGAAATAGATTGAGTTTGCCACAGATGCACCGTGCCGGCCATGCAAGGTACATCTTGATCCCACCTGAATTGATGCAGCTAACGTCACAGTAGCAGGGCAAAGATTGCAGCTGTTGCCTTGGCGAAACTCATGGCTGAGTCAGGAAGGTGATGGTCGACCAGAATGCTGACCTCAAGATGGAAAATTTGACAGCGCGCGGACTCATCTGTCATAAGGTCACAGCTGAGGCAGTGACCGTTATGGTCGCTTTGGACCATATTTTTCAATGTGGGATGGGCCGGCCTTTTGGATGCACAGATTTACATGGTGTTTCTTCCGGAAGCATCCTTTGTGAGCAATTTAGTGTCAAAAGGTGAACGCCGTGGCAGGCTTGTGCGTCAAGGGGAACCTGGCAGAGGTTGTGCCCGCAAGCGCGTAGCAAAGACACATCGAATCGGAAAGAATTAAAGATTTGCTTCGTTGCATTGACCCTGTCAACTGAAGTCCCAAGGTTGACAGCAAGGAAGCAGTTCAAATGTTTCAAACACGACAGAAAGATATCCAAAAGGTGAGCTGCAAAGGTCAAAGGTTAACCCGGGGCCCTGAAAAATTATTTTTCCCAAGCTTCAAATTTGGTTTTGCCATTCGTTTTGCATTTTCCTTTCAAAATCGATCCGTTCAAGCCCGTTCAGATCAAGAATTGAAGATTTGCTTCGTTGCATTGACCCTGTCAACTGAAGTCCCAAGGTTGACAGCAAGGAAGCAGTTCAAATGTTTCAAACACGACAGAAAGATATCCAAAAGGTGAGCTGCAAAGGTCAAAGGTTAACCCGGGGCCCTGAAAAATTATTTTTCCCAAGCTTCAAATTTGGTTTTGCCATTCGTTTTGCATTTTCCTTTCAAAATCGATCCGTTCAAGCCCGTTCAGATCAAGAATTGAAGATTTGCTTCGTTGCATTGACCCTGTCAACTGAAGTCCCAAGGTTGACAGCAAGGAAGCAGTTCAAATGTTTCAAACACGACAGAAAGATATCCAAAAGGTGAGCTGCAAAGGTCAAAGGTTAACCCGCGGCCCCTATCTAACTGGCCTGGTTAAGTCACCAGCCTTCCTGATGGGACGTTTCTGTGTAAACGCTGCCAGTTGCCTTCCTATCATGTTGACAGTGTCGCGACTGATCAGCAAAATCACACCTCTTTGAGGTGTCATGGCTCCCAACTGTGTCAAGTCCAAATGATTCACAAAGTGGAGCCCAAAATCAAAAAAGTCATCCAATGCAGCGAAAAAATTCTGGAGTAGTCTCAGAATCGCTGCAACTGTTGGTCTACTCACTGCCGCCGCCGGCAAATTGGATGGGTCAACCCAGCAAAGCTTCCGATTGGGACCTGTAAAGTTATTTTTCCCAAGCTTCAAATTTCGTTTTGCCATTCGTTTCGCATTTTTCTTTCAAAATCGATCCGTTCAAGCCCGTTCAGATCCATTCCAGAAGGCTGAAACATCAAAGAACCTGCAGTTATGTGCTACATCTAGAGTCTATCATGACAAACAGAATAGTGGCCGATTCTGGTTGATCAGCAGACACAGCATACATACATTCCCGCCAAAAAAACACTGAAAGGGTTGAAGTGGCTCGGTGTGGCTCGGCACTATGCCATGATGCCATGTGTGTGCAAGGCGCCACGCTTCCACTTCCGCCTTTGGTGCCTTCGAAGATTGCATGGCTACCCATGGAATTCCACTGTGGAATCAAATCCTTGACGATTTGATCTCTCGTAATATTGCTTGTAGGGACAAACAACGGGTGAAAAATCAAGAGAAACACCTATGAGAAATCATACGCTGATGCTCCATGTCTCAGTATAAACTAGTAGAGGTCTTGAAATTTGACACCGCAACGCAATCCGCATGCAATCCGCATTTCCCCGTCGGTTTTGGAGCGCCACTTCTACCCAGTTGATCGGCAAAGATTCTTGGAGTTCCCGGATTTCCTGGCTGAGTTTCAAACAGTGGGCCCAAGTTGGGTGTGTATGATGCCCTAAACCAACATCTTTGCCTTTCATGCTTGGAAAAGGCTGGCAAATATGAAGATTATGAATTATGAAGTTTCATTTGATGAATCTCTGATCTACGTCTGATACCTGCAGGAGAGCTGCAAAAAACGAAACAAATCCAGTCGCAATGCCTGGGCAGTCTGCCTGGCTGTAAGCCGTGAATCGCTCAAAGTGGGCTGCTATTCTTCCCAATCTCAAGACTGCAAGGCACTGTAAGGTGTTGGTCGTCTGAAGCATTTCCGATGTGGCCATGAGTGTGGAGGGCAGAAGTGCATGATCGGTCAGATCATGGCCAGTTAGTACGACATAATGGAAACAGTTTTTCATTTGATGAATCTCTGATCTATGCTGATACCTGCAAGGGGGGGAATTGGGGCGACTAGATGGACACCTGCCCTTTGAGAAACCTCTTACATCACCATGATTTAAGGCCACACAATTTGCACTTCAACCGCAGGGGCCCATCATCATCATGGTCGTCGTCGTCGTCGTCGTCGTCTCATCATCATCATCATCATCATCATCATCATTCAGGTATATCTGTGCAACATATCGAACACATTTGTGGCATTTTGTGGCCAAGTTCTGCTCTCTAGAGGCACAAGCACAAGGGCACAAGTGACTGGAGTGAGGCTGAAAACCTTCATCAAAGAGGGAAGAAAGCAGTGCAACTTCAGAAACTGTGCAACTTCAGAAAACCACTCCACACGCCCAGGTGAGCTGCATGGCAAGGTAGTTCGAGATTTTTGCGCATGGAGACCCAGTGATGATGACTCCTTCGCTGGTGTAACTCTTGATGTGACCCATCCCTTTCAGGGGACATGGGGGTGTCTTAAACTGGATCTCCGAAACCATGCTTTTCAATACTAAAATGGTCTAATTTTGGATGACTTGGGGGTACCAAAATTTTAGGACACCTTCTGGCTGCTTTGCCAAAGCCAAACGTGCAGCTCTTGATGTCGGACTTGGGCAAGCGTCGGTTGGGAAATTTCTGTCCACAAATCTGGCACAAGCGACGCAACCTGTCTGAAGAGGACTAGAGGGCTCATTTCCAACGACGTGAGAAATGATTGAGTCACTGACTTCACAAGATGTGAATGTTCGTCCTCACAGACTGGTGCTTGGCTCGGAGTGGGAGATGGGAGGATCCACTTGAAATCTTGCGAGTGATAGAATTTCCCTTGACACTGCTTTGCTTGGAACTTGTTTTGATATCTTTATTTCAAGATGGCCTCATCAAACACTTCACGACCGCCACAACCTTGGCATTTCAAGGCTTTAACGATGAACACTGGAGTCATTTGAGAGACGGAAGTACCTTCCTTTTCATTTGCAGAACCAGAGCCGTAAGCAAAAGCCCCAAGGTGGCATAAGGTCATCATAAGGTGGGTGTCACAGTGGGCTTTTGCAGTTTCCGGTTTCGATTTTCACAGCGCTGGACGGACCTGAGGCCCCCCCTTCCACGCCTTGCCTTGACTGACCATGGCTAGTCTCAAAATTCGGCTGAGCCCGGCGATGCAATTCCAGCCCTTGCCCGGTCTGTTGTGGTCCCTCCGGCGCCGTGGCAAAGTGTGATTGTAAAGGGTTTTCAGCATGGCTCATCTGAAAGCCCGAGCCGCTCAGTGAAGGACCATCCGACAAAACCGGACCCTTGGTGAAATTAAAGTGGAACAATCTTGCCACAGAGAAAAGATAGGACTAAGAGCAAAATAAAGGCGGAGACCAGTGATGACACAAGAACATGAGAATTCTGCAGTCTCACCTGAATTAGTTGGTCGAATGGCAAGCCCATGTCACCAAGTCATCGGATTGATTCATTTTGCTGTGCAACTTTGGCAGAAATACCGGTGAGGGACCAGCGCAGTCCAGAAGCAAGTGGCTTTGCCAACACTCCTGGAGCAACAATGGATCAACCAGAATCTCAGGCGGAAAAGTAAACTATACAGTACATCACCTACGAAAGCCACTTGGAGATGTCTACTTCCACTTCAGTGTAAGCATAACCCTTCAGTGAAACAGGCAAGAGCCCTGTGACGAGAAATTTTGGCAAATGCATCATCACATGCAGGATCATGCACGAAGGGCTATGTGGGGTAACTGGTGCAGCCTGCAGATCAGTTGCAAGATTAGAGAAAGAGACGCTGGCTGCTGGACGATCTGAACCCAACAAAACATCTATGTGCCATGCTACTTCGGCCTTCTGTGAATTCCGAAGACCTTCAGATGCCTCCATGAAGTGGGGTTCTTCCTCTGGAAGCCACGCCAAGAAGAGCCGCTGTACCTCCGGCGAACACTGAGAGGAAGAGTCTTCACGTGGGTCCTTCGAACAGTTGCTGGAGGCACCAAAACAGTATATTCCTGAACCCATACGCCCCCAAGATTTTTGCTATTGTAGTGTTCGACGTGCCAGCAGCTGATGATATTGTATGTTCAGCGATGTTAACCCGGCGCCCTGAAAAGTGATTTTTTCAAAGCCGATTGTGCCACCCAAAGCTGCTTTGCTTCATCGAGCACGCCTCAAGCTTGTGCCAATCTACAGGACACCTACTGTGTATCGCATCTACGTCTAGACACAGAGGACAACAAAATCCCGAAAAGACATTCCCATACTGTATGTTCAGCGATGTTGACCCGGCGCCCTGATTTTTTTTTTTCAAAGCCGATTGTGCCACCCAGAGCTGCTTTGCTTCATCGAGCACGCCTCATGCTGAATTTCATGCTGAAATCGTCATTACGCGCACCACAATTGGTCCAGCCTTCCAATTACTTTTGGAGCTACCAAAAAAGAGGCTTAGGCCTCGTGACTAGAAGAAAGTGCTGAGCATGAAGATTGCCCTGAAGCCAGTGGTGCAGCTTTCAGATCAATTGCAGGATTAGGTGCTGGCTGCGTGACGAGACAGTTGACATGAAGCTTGCTCTGAACCCAACAACACATCTATGTGCATTTGGGCTGAGAGACATAAGACCAAATTGCCAAAAGCTATCAGGACAAGAAAGCTCCAGCTTGGCACCGTAAGATAGCTTCACAACATTTTGTTGGATTGAAGCCATTCTATAAAATGCATCGGCCGGCCTTCCATGCCCTTGAACATGGGCGAGACCAATTGAGGCTTGCTCTTTGAAGCGTCTTAAAGCACTGTCACCAGGCTGTGCTAGCTGGTGCTTGCTCCATCCTTCCAATTACCTCCGGAGCTACAAAAAAGGAGGCTTAGGCCTCGTGACTAGAAGAAAGTGCTGAGCATGAAGATTGCCCTGAAGCCAGTGGTGCAGCTTTCAGATCAACTGCAGGATTATCTTTCTAATGAAACCCTGCCCATTCCGAAGGGCTGTTTCAACTTTGGATATTTTTGAATAAAAATATAGAATGCCCCAAAATTCACACTAACCATCCTTCATACAGGCAAAACGCAAACCCTTTCCAAAGGAATTTCAACATATGGAGGTCATAGTTGCTGCAATCAAATTTCAGGTAATCCTTTGCTGAATATGAATTAGATTCCTGAAGGAAACACGGAAAAACGTAATAATTTATTATGATTGATCTGGAGAACCGCTTTAGGCACCCAAATCAGTCTGATCCCAAGTCCAAGGATGCGGTGTTCGTGAGAATGATCGGTGTTCGTAAGAAAGCACAGTCAGTGCTGCTGAGCACGATGCGTGCACGTTGCACACCAAAGTACACACTCCTGTCCCCTGCCCCAACTCAGCTGAAAAAATCTGGTGAAAACTGTTCATTTTCTTTCCTTGAGAACGATGCTGGTCACTGAGAGCGATTGCCGGCTGAGAATGGAGAATTTGTTTTTTTCCCCTAGAAAAACAAACCACACCCATTCCCACCGGGATCCTTCTGAGCCTTTTTTTTTTTGATCAAAAACGTCCGGGAAAAAATGTAGGCTATCGTCCACCAGAAACGATTCCTCTCATTAAAACAAGTGGCCTACTGAGAACACAAACACTTCGTGAGAACGATGGGCCGATTGGAATACCCATTGATGATGACCTCAGACAAGAAACCCTGCTGGTGGAACTTTTTTTTTTTGGAAGACACCCTTTTTGCAATGCGAAGTAACGCAAAGATTGATCAGTGTGTTGAAACAGCACCCCGATGAAATTGGCCTAAGCAAGTGCGTGCTAGAAGCAACTACTATTGACAAACAACTCTATGCTGCAGTTTCCCTACTCCCCCATGATGCGGTAGCTTCTCCATCTTGTGCCAAAAAAAAATGGGTGGATTCATTCAAACATGACCCCTCAGAACGATCGCTGTTCTGACATGCGTTTTTCCCGTAAGAATGCGTAGGCCTCATGACTAGGAGAAAGTGCTGAGCATGAAGATTGCCCTGAAGCCAGTGGTGCAGCTTTCAGATCAACGTGCGCAGGTGCATTGACATACACGCATTTGGGTTGACAGACACAGGACTGAATTGCTAAAGGCTATCAAGACCCCAAAGCTCCAGCTTGGTTGGTACCATAAGATAGCTTCACGGCATTTTGTTGGAGTGAAGTGAAGCCATTCTGTAAAATGCATAGACCAGCCTTCCATGCCCTTGAACATGGGCGAGACCCATTGAGGCTTGTTCTTTGAAGCGTCTTAAAGCACTGTCACCAGGCTGTGCTAGCTGGTGCTTGCTCCATCCTTCCAATTACCTCCGGAGCTACAAAAAAGGAGGCTTAGGCCTCGTGACTAGAAGAAAGTGCTGAGCATGAAGATTGCCCTGAAGCCAGTGGTGCAGCTTTCAGATCAATTGCAGGATTTCTAATGAAACCCTGCCCATTCCGAAGGGCTGTTTCAACTTTGGATATTTTTGATGATTCCTATGACATTCTTGATGATTGTAGCCATTCTTGATGATTCCTATGACATGCATAGACTGGCCTTCCATGCCCTTGAACATGGGCGAGACCAAGTGAGGCTTGCTCTTTGAAGCGTCTTCCAACCCCAGCAGCGTCTGGCAAGTCACACTTGACTCCGGATGGAGCCTACAGGCCTACAGACAAATGCCTCATCGCATGCAGGTTTATGCACGAAAGGTCATATTTTGTAGAAGCTCACAGTAGTGCATTGCAGAGAAAAACACTGTAGCCAGAATGTGCTAGCTGCCGCTCCCTGAGAGCATTCCGTGGTGAGTTCGGAGGGCAAGAGAGCTGTGGCAGGAGTTCAGCAATATCAACTCTATTTTTTTGGGCCCTGCAACTTTTCGAGAAATTTAAACAATATCTGGCAAAATATACCTGACGCAGATGACTTCTAGGCCTTGACTGTGAGCAGATGCCGCGGTGTTCCAATTTCTTCAAGGGCTGGTGAAACAGGCAAGACCGTGTGACGAGAAATTTTGGCAAATGCATCATCACATGCAGGATCATGCACGAAGGGCTATGTGCGGAAACTGGTGCAGCCTGCAGATCAGTTGCAAGATTAGAGAAAGAGACGCTGGCTTCGGGACGATGTTCTTGCAGTCAGCATCCTTGTGCTTTTGCCGCCCATGCCGAGAGAAAGTCATGATATAAACCTCTCAATGGCTCTCATTCAAAGATTCGAAAGTGACATGGATTTTTGTCAAAGCGCCCGAAAACGCACAGACGTCCCTTGACAGGGCCTGTGACATTTTGTATTTCGTCTTGTCTGCTGATTGTAGACACATCCTTTACAACTTTACAGGTTGCTTCTGGCAGCACGGTTTGAAGCCGCGCTGATGTTGCGCTGTGAAAAACCACACAGGCCGGCGGCCTATGAGCCGATTTTGGTCCGGTTGCCACAAGTTTTTGGAGCAGCGCTTTTGCATTGGGAGAAAAAAAGGCAACATTTTTCCGTGATCTTGGTGCTGAAAAAGACTGCTTCACTATTCTTAGGCATTTTCAGCATATTTTTCCTTCCCCACGGTATGATAATTCGCCTTGCCCCGAAACAAGCGCTGCAGCCCGTATTTCACGTGAAGGCCGGCACAGGGAGCACCAGAGAGGATGCACCCGATGCGCCACTTGCGCTATCACATCCACCATGAGGCTCTCAGGCTGATGTGCCAAGAGTGCCGGGTTCCAAAGGTAGCTCATGGGGGCCTTGCCATTCCTCTGACACGGGCTCAGCAATGCACTTCAACCGGCCATTGCCAGAGGAGGGACTCAAAGGGGGTTCTGGTCCTTGCCAAGCCTGCAACCCTGCCACAGAACATGAGCCTGCGACCCTGTCAGAGAACCTGATGACACCTCCGTATCAGTCGCAGGTGCCTTCGTATGACCAACGAAATAGTTTTGAGCTTGTAAAGAAAGCAAGCGCAGTGTGGGATATCTCGCGAGAAATTGCAAGTGAGTTGAAAAGGACGTGGAAAGGGGGAGGATTTGAAGATGGGACGGGTAAAGGGCTCAGCCCTTCCAAGTTGCTGTGAGCGGCTGTGAGTTCTGATCATTTTTCTGTCTGACGTTTGGAACGGTTCTTGGGTCCTTTGTGGCTATGGTTCATATGATTAGCACACTCTACATCGCCCCACAAACCCATTTGGCCAATGGAATGTTCAACTGTGGTTACTAAAGAAAGGTCGTTTTAGTAAGTGAACATCACAATTTTCTTCATGCCAACTTGGTTCGTATGTCTAACGTATTGGTTTGAAGGATCGAGGGTGTGTCAATTTTCAACATTGACTCAACATGTCAACTTTGTCTATACGATGAAGTATTGTTTTGTGAGGAAGTTCGGGCGTGATTTTTTGAAAAACTTAACATGTCCACTGCGTTCATCTGTTGAAGGTATTGTATTGTGGGGTCGAGAGGTAGTAAATTCGGAAAAAATGATTCAAGATGCCCACTTGGTTCGTCTGTTCAATGCAATTATTGTTTTGTAGGGCCGAGGGTGTGTAAACTTTCAACTTTGACTCAAGATGTCAACTTTGTTCATACGATGAAGGTATTGTTTTGTGAGGAAACGCGGATGTGTTCTTTTTTGACTAAGGCAACATGTCCACTGCATTTATTTTTTGAGGGTACTGTCTTGTGGGGTTGAGAGTGGGTGAGATCGCAAAATGATGCAAGATGCCGACTTGGACCAAATTGGTTCAAATTGTCAACATAATTTTGAGTAGGGTCGAGGAACGTTTTTCAAACATGACTCCTAACTGTTCGTTTCAGCCTGATCCTTGTTGTCTCACCTGTCCTTTTGTTTCAGCCCTGTCTTTTTGTCTTGAACCTTTCTCTTTTGGCAATTTAACCTGTCCTTTTGTCTTAAAATCTTTTCCTTTTCGTTCCAACGCTGTTATCTTGTTTTTATCTGATAATAACTTGTTTGTTTTTCGGTTCAATCCGATCTTTTCGTTGCAACGCAATTGACCCAGTTTACCCAGTTGAACCAGTTGGCCCGATAACTTGAACCAGCTAAGTCAATTGGTCCAGTTGGTCGGCCCAGTTGACCCATTTGAACCAGTGAATCATTAGGGTCAACTCAACTGGGTCACTTGGGCATACAAAAATTAGTTGATTCTCACTGCGGTCGCAATGGGCATGTATGTTGGAAAAGTCAAGGGGATAGATATATTGTTGTTTCTATTGCCCGTGCAGGGGCGAAATTTACCGGTAAAGCCGTAAAACGGTAAATTCATAAGGACGCTAGAAGGCTAGAATACCAGTTGACCGATTACCGAATTTTCCATGGCCCGCGAAGAGCAGCGAAATTCACCAATTTACCAGATTTATATACCATTGCCCGGAGAGCGTTCCCTCCTTAGCACCAAGCCTTACACAGTGACGGCTTTGCCAAAAAGAACGTCAGAAGGAATTATGTTCGACGCATCGGTTCAAAACAAAATCGGAGCAGGATTGAAGTCAATACTCAACGCCTTGGGTTCCAAGAAAAACGCCAACACAACGACCTAAGGGTTGTCCACCCAACTTTCAAAGTTTTGTATCAATCATCTTGGAACCATAAACATACCTTGCACTTGGTTGATTGGTATAGGGGGATATACTACCTAGCACAGGGATTAGAATAATCCATATTAGCAAAACCTACCAACCAATTTTTGTAATGAGATGGGACATCAGCTGCTTTGGCATCTGTTTCCATCACGATTTCCTCATCGAAATATGGCCATGGCAGCTCGGTGTGATGGAACAAGGTCACCAGGGGCGTCGGTGAACTCTGTGAAATTTGGTGTTTAAAAAACCTCTGGGCCCAATTTGGGATAGCAATTCCAATAGGATTTCATGATGTGTCAAGTTTGGGCCCGGCCCACGAAGTCCAAACCCCCCAGTTGCGCCTAACAGCGCCGCAATGCTTTTCCAAGAAGCACTGCCGGTCGTCGCCAGCTCGATGGCTTCACAGCGCCCAGCGCTGTGATATGAAACAGCGGGGCACATGGGGTGAAAACATGTCAGGTTGCAGCTGCAAACTTCACATGGGGGAAAAGGTGCTGGGCGTTTGCCACAGCACTCACCAAAAATTCGTTCAGGCCATCATTCGGCCACATCTGGAATCTCTGGAGGCTCCGTGAACCTCTCTTCACCTGACAGGTCTTCCAGCTGCCCTAGGCATTCAAGTCCTGCGTCGTGGTGTTGGCATCGTAACGGTAGGGGCTGACGTATGAAGCGCAAGCTTGGCAGGCAAAGCGCTCAAACACCTGGCTCCTGGCCAGCTGAGGGCACTGGTCGTGCACGTGTCGCACACTGCCCCTGTTCGCTATGTAGATCTGCCTGCTCACCACGCAGTCGTTGTGGGCATCGTTATCGTTCATGGCCTCTAGGTGGGCTCGAGCTGCCATTGATGGTGTCTAAACGGGCTCAAGCTGCCAAATCTCGAGATTCGTCCACCAGGCCATGTAGTCGCCCAATCCTTCAGATCAGCGCCATCCGCTTGCGATCCAAAGCGCGCAGCTGCTGGTCCTTGTGTTAGAAGGACTGCTCCAGGTTACGCGTCTGAGATTGGAGCTTTTTGATCTCCCTGTCAGCTGTGATGGGGCCTGCTGGCAGTGTTTGCCGTCGCAGCTGTTGTTCCAGCTCCACCACTGCAAGGTCAACACCTCCCTCAGTCTTCCATCCAGCTCTCGTTGGAGTCAGTCAGATCTGACGTGTCGGCGGCGCAGAATGTAGTTGCGTCCAATCCACCAACCATGCATCCAGCCACCACCGTAGCATGCTGCAGCGAAGACGATGAAGGCCACGGCAATCAAGATGTCCCAAAAGTAGGACGGCTGCTCATCCTCCGGGATGATGTCCACAATGGGGCAGGTGTCGGAGATCGCGCCTTCCACTGCGGTCGCCAGTACGCCAGGAAGTCGTTGAAGACCTTGAAGAGGAAGTAGAAGGAGCAGCAAGTGCCAGAGAAACTGCAAGCACCAAATCACCCAGCCGTGCAAATTCTGTGTCTCCTGGCCGTAGGGGATGTTCTCAACCGGCGTGTCGTGGTACGGCACAAAGTTGTTGATGTTCACGTCATGGTCATGACGCAGGTGTGCTGGGGCTGTAACGGCCATGTCGTGATCCTTCATGATCTCGTCGTAGTTGATGGCTTGGTAGGTGATTTGTCCATGGTGCTCCGCATAGGTCTCGATGGGAGTCGTGTTGTCCTCTGTGTTGAGCTCGGTCTCTTCTGGGACAGTCTCGAAATTAAGGTTTGGAAAACTCCTCTCTGCTTGCGATTCTGTCGGCAAGCTTCTTCTTCTTGGCGGCGAAGTAGTTGGGATCCCATGACAGCTTGATGCGGCCATACCGCAGGCGGTCAGCAAGGAGCTGTCTGGTCGTCTCCTTGGTGAGGGAGTCGGCGTACTGCCGTTCGCTGGAAAAGTCCATTTGAGTCTGCCGCCAAGTGCTTCAAGTCCTTCTCTGACAACCTTGATCTCCAGCCCTGTCCTCTTGTCAGTGAAGCCACTGCTGAGGCTCCGTGATGAGCGTAGGCTCCAATGGGCTGGGCTTGTGCAAGATGTTCGCCAATGGCTCATTGGGCCACAGGAGGTGCTGGTAGTAGCGACGACAAAGTCCATGTTGTCGCACGCTTGACTGGCTGATTGGGCTTCAGCTCCAAGACTGGGTCTGGCCACCCTTGGGAGTTTGGATGAGCGCCAGTCAATCATGGTAAGGCCCTTCAACTTCATCAAACGTAGTTTTGGGCACCAGCATCATCACTCGCCTGATGCCAAATGCGCATTTGGCATCGACCATAGTCACCAGACGTAGGTCTTCAAGTTCGCAAAGATGCTCGTAGCACAATGAGACATCGGAGTTGAGCTTGGCGAACTTCAGGAGGCGGTTGGCACCCTGTATGGCTGTATGGACTTCGCAAGTCCGGCAGAAAGTTGTCCATCTAGAAGCGATGTAGAGCACTGCAGATGTGGTTGCAATTGCACTGATGGCCACTCAAGTGATCCCAATAGACCTCGTAGTTGTGTGATCTTTGCAGGAGTCATGTAGTCCTCGCAACCTCGGCCACGATGAAGTGGAATTGGTTTGACCTTCTTGAGATACTCGGAGTGGTTCACCTTCCATCCGCCATTGGGAGTCTCCTGAAGAGAGGCTCCGCAGTACTCAAGCTCATCCTGGTCCTTCCACTCACAGAAGTTGAAGATAGTGCGAAGCTGCTTGACCACGTGCTGGTACACGAGTGAGTCCTCAAGGCCACCTCCCAGCATGTCATCAACGTGAACACAAACCATGCCAACAATGCGCTTGGCGCCAAGGCATCTGGAGGGGTCCGTGGCCGCGATGTCAGGGAAGTCAGTTTCGCAGATCAAGAAGGCACAGGGATCCAGGATGTGAGGTCGTAGTCCAATTGAGGTCAAACGTCGTGTGGCTTCCAAGAACCATCGCCGTGGGGCATCAATCTGCCCATAGCAAGGTTTGCGCAACAGCATGCGTGTTGAATCATCAGCGCCCAGGATGGTCAGCACTTCACGTGGCAGCTTCACCCCGAGCTGTCGTTCTTGAGGAAGTCCTTGTAGGAAGGCTGTGGCCACGTCAGCTGTCCATCCGCACCACTTCAAAATGGCAGACAAGGAAAGGAACATGGAGCGAGACAAGCGGCTGGTTGTTGGTGCCGTTGTCTCCACCTTCGCCTCAAGAGCGTCCTGGTCGTTGCACCCTCGGACCACAAGTCGAGCTTTCGCTCGCGGACTTCCGTCCGGGTTCTTGCTCCATTTGAGCGGCATTCTTGAAGTGAGGGTTCGTTGGGGGTCCGTGTCTTTGTGTCTTTGACATGGGCAAACTCCCAGACACCATTCTCGAAGAAGCTCTTGAGTTCCTTGATCTTGGCCTGCATGAACTGCTCGCGTTCCATCATCGTCAGGCCTCGCTCGTTGGGCTCTGAAGTGGGCTTCTTCTTGATGATTGCATGCTTTGCCTGTCGTGCCACTTTCTCGGCAGGGGCTGTAGAAAAACATGGCAAGCTCCTTTCTGGTGGCTCCATTGATCTGGTAGATCGTCATGCCAGTCCAGGCTGCTTTGGAAGCAGGAACCAAGGTGTCGTAGCGGTCAGTGGTGATCTGTCTGATGCCAGTGGGGAGTCGCATCAGAGTAACCCTTACAGGGTCCTGCTTCATCTCAAAAGGGCAGTCCTTGGCCTTGTGGTGATGTCATGAGGTCGATGTCGAGGTTGTAGATGGTGTCGGATGAGGCATCCAGCGCGAATCTCCCAGTAGTCGTGGTAGTTCTTGTTGTCCAGCTGGAAGTAGCCTTCTTCATCGACACTCCAACCTTTTGGCAAGTCATCACCACCAATGTCTTGGCCAAAGAGCTCAGAAGCAGGGTCACGTTGACCTGGATGTGGTTCAGCAGCTGGTGGAGGAGCTTGTCGTTGGGCGGCTCAACGTCGCATGGGTCCAAATGGGCCAAACTGGAAGGTTTCCTGCATGTTGATCCATTTGTCGTCGACGTTGCCGGAAATCAGGAGCTGTGGCAGGCTCGTAGAGGTTCATGTTGGTGGAAGTCACACCAAAGGGGTTTGCTGGAAGCAATGCCGTGTCCATCGGCGTGTTTGGAGCCGTTGCCATGGTTGACGGCTCTTGGTTGGGCTCAGGCTCGTCGATGTTGATCATCGCAGGTGGTTGTGGAACTGGATCAGGAGCCAGTACCCTGAGCATCGAGTATTGATTTCAATCAATATTCTTTTATCAAGATTGATTTTGAGATTGATTTTATTGATTCAGGAATCAATCTAAAAGGCTATAAGTTTGAAGGCAATCAATCTGAAAATCAACCCTTTTCCAGTCCAAAATCAAAAGTTCCAGACCAGCACACACCTTGTTTTCCTGTATCTGAGGTCAGATCATTCTTGGTCTTTGCCAAGAAGCTTCACTTTTTCAAGTGGCATTGCCTTTTGCAATTTCTCTCTGTACAATCCTTTGCATTAATTCCTTTTTCAAGGTGTTTGGAAATAGTGCAACTTTTTCAAGGTGCCGAGTCCTGGTGTTTCATCCATCAGACTCAATGCCAAGGTAGCCCCCAAGTACAGAATCCTACTCCATTTCCTGCTTACAAGAGAGGGGATGCAGGAAGCAGCCAACCTTGAGAAAGGTCAGGGGTAGGTGAAGGGGCGCCTTGAAAAAGGTACTACCTTGCATGTGAAACTGGACGTGGCATGGCATCTTGAAAAAGATGCAAGTGATGTTTTATGACCTTATTAAACAAGGTCCTCCCTTCTTCAAGGGCCCAAGTTGATAAAAACTCATAATTGTCTGAGAACCCTTTTTCAAAGGACATTGCTGCCTTCCATTGAGCCTCAGTGAAAAAGGCTGAAGCATCATCAAAGATGGCGACAATGTCAGACATGCACTGTGTGGCCTGGAGCATGGCATTTTCATGGGGGCTGGTAGGGTCCAAGAGCTCCTTGCAAACAGGAAGAAATGCATCCAAGAAATGCTTTGTTTCAGAAGCCTTCAGGTCCAGATTGGCAAATGATTTGTGGGGCTCTCGGCATCACAAATCATGCACATTCGCAGGTTCGTGACCCTGGGTGGGGTGCCTTGCCTCCGATACTCCTTTGTCAAGGCTTGGGAGAGTGCACCCAACCTTTTGTCAGGGGCCACTGATTGGACCACACCAACACCATCATGCCAGCAAAGATAATGTATGATGCCACCCAGAAGGTGCCCCAGCACCCCTTTTCAGAAAATATGTGAAGACAATCCCCCCTGACCATCTTTGTGGTCAAACCAGGGATCATGCCACTGAAGAGGCTGTGGCCACCCCTGGGGTTCTTCATGGCTTCCTCATTGGAAACCTTTTTGAAGCCCTGCTTCCCTTTGCCAAGAGTTTTGTGCCACAGGTTGGCTGGGGCTGCATCTTTTCAAGCATTGCAGTCCCAGCATGGTTTCTTTGATGGCCAATTGGGGGAGCTTCAAAGCATTTGAGAAAAACTCGTGATCTTTTTGGATGCTCCGCAAGACACCCCTGTAACCTCTTGCTAAAGGTTGCCCTTTTTCAAGGAAGAATGGGGAATCCTTTTTCAAGGCCTTCCCTTTGGGGTCATGGGTGGGGTGGTATCCATTTTGCAAGGCTGCACAGCTCCATGATATCCACTCCCACATAGTGACCCAGGCCTCATCAATGTACATGTGGCTGCACAATGAATTCTTCTGGCTCAGGAGTGACCCCCAGCTGTAAACCATGATTGTGTCTCTGGATTGACACTCTACACCATCCCCATGGACAAAGAGGGGTATACAGCACTTCTTCCAAGACTTTCCCTTTTTCAAGGGGTGGTTGATGAGCCTGTCATCACCAGTCTTTTCAGCTTGGGCACAAAAGCTCTCCAAGCAGTCCAAAGGGAATAGTTTATTAAAGCTGCTGTAAGTAGCTAGCTTTGACAACATCACATGGGGCAGGGAAACTTGGGCAGTTTCCACATCTTTGGGATGCTTGCATGGCACTGCAATTGGGAAGCCAGTAGGCAAGCCAATGCCTTTGCAAACGTTTGCCATCAAGTCCCTGTGTGGACATTGCCTGGCTGAACCCCATGGGAGCCACACTTGGCAATTGCAGCCAGCTCATGGTGCTCTGCCCCACCCAAGGTAGCACAGTCTGCCAGCCACCTGATGGTGGTTCCTGGCAGCTTGCCATGGCACCAAAGGGTCAGCAATGCTGTTGCTGTCCCCTTTTCAAGGGGTTCATCCAGAATTCCCAGCTCCTGTCCAAGCTGTGAACCCCTGAGCCTTTTAACCATTGCTTTTCCAAGCCCTACCTTGGAATGCTACCCTTTTAGATGGGCTCCTTTTTCAATGTCCTTTGTCAAGAAAGACCCCTTTTCAAGGAAATGCCTTTCAAGGGAATACCTTTTTCAAGGCTGGTCACAAGCAAAGCCTCTGTATCTGTATACCTACTTGTGGTCCCTGAAAACACTTTCAAGCCAAAAGCTGCAGAATGCCAACGCATACACCTCTCCAAATAGTGATGCAACATGCTGTTAAGCAGCAACGCTGGTAGCAGCACTAGCAGCAGCAGACTTTTTTCTTGCATGTTTCTGTGCTTTGCCCTGGCAGGCTGTTGCTGCCAACTGTACACAGAAGAGCTGATGTCAACTTTTTCAAGGAACCCAGCTATATACATATATATATGTATTTTCAATAACAACAAGGCCTTCCATGAAGGATGCCCAGCCAAGCCATGCCCCAACCTTTTTCAATGTTGTTTTTCTTTTCGCTGGACTTGCTGGGTGCCTTGCTGCCTGCTTTGCTGTTGGCCTTGTGGCTCAACTGGACCAGCTCTTTGGCCTCATCCTTTGCACCTTTGATGCAAGCCACAACTTCCAGCAAGTGCTTTTTCAAGACTCCTGGCTTAGCCTTCCGTCCTTTTTCAAGGAGTGACTTGGTGCTTTTCAGCGTCTTTGCCAACTGCTCAAGCATGGCCTGCTTGTCCTTCAAGCTTGCCTTGCTCAAGTAAGGGCTCTTCTCCACCTTTTTCAAGACTTCTTCAAAGTTGCTGTGAGTCCTGGTGAGCATCTCCTTGGCTTTTCTCAGCTTTTGCAAGCCTTCTTCTTCCAAAGACAAGGGTGCATCACCATCTTCCTCATCCTCCTCCTCTTCACCCTCACCATTGGTCAAGGCTGCCAAGTTTCCTCATCACACAAATGTTCAGCCTCTTCCTCCATTCCTTGTAGTCGGAGGGTGCATCGCTAAACAGCGGGATGTAGGAGTCTTTCGTGGTGTTGTAGTCACCTCCGGCAGTACTCGCCGATCCAGTTCCACCCGACATTGCCTCAGGCAGTGAGGTGGATGTAGACCAGGTAGTAGGCCAGGTAGTCAATCACAAGTTTGGGTCCGGCCCACGAAGTCCAAACCCACCAATTGCGCCTAACAGCGACGCAATGCTTTTCCAAGAAGCACTGCCGGTCGTCGCCAGCTCGATAGCTTCAAAGCGCCCACCGCTGTGATATGAAACAGCGGCAGGCCACATGGGAAAAAAAACATGTCAGGTTGCAGCTGCAAACTTCACATGATGCATGTTTGGGCCCCAAAAGTGTGATTTTCATGGGACTTAAACCATGAAAATTGGGGTTCAACCGTTCAACCAATCAAAAATGGTTGCCTAAATCAGCCAGGGAAAAATCGACCAAACTTGTTGACATGCCTTTCCCTTTGGTGTTGAGTTTGATGTCACAAAATGCCAAAACAATCGAGTTGTATACTCTAGGTGTCCTGGACAGAACATGGGAACATCCCACGATTTGCTACAAAAACTTGTTGCTAACTGAAGTCCCTCATGTTTTAGCAAGGTATTGGCAGGGGCCCAAATCGCAGTTAAATACCGCTGTGTCGAAACAGTTTTGGTGGGGCTCAATCATCCTCTGGACCACCACCACCACCATCATCATAATCATTCCCCGTTGCACCCACCTTGCTAGCTTTAGCAACTGACACTCCAACCAGTGCAGGCTCGTCTTCCATGGATCAATACATCAGACGTTGACTTGACCTTTGAAAGTCTCGTCCTTACTACCGAAAGACACGTGAAGCAAAGATCAGCTGGTGAAACTGGGTTCGGGAGTCTGAACAGCAAGGGCAGCATTAAGTTTTGAACATTTTTGTGAAATGGAACATCCATGAATATCGTGAATATCCACCATTTAACACTAGATATCATTTTTCCATGAAGTAGAGTCTTGACACCTCGGACCAGTAGGATCAGAAATAGACTGAATTTGCCACAGATGCGCCGTGCCGGCCATGCAAGGTACATCTTGATCCCAGCTGACTTGATGCAGCTAACGTCACAGTAGCAGGGCAAAGATTGCAGCTGTTGCCTTGACGTTAACTGTGGGGCCAAGCAGCGAAACTCATGGCTGAGTGAGGAAGGTGATGGTCGACCAGAATGCTGACCTCAAGATGGAAAATTTGACCAAAACTGCACCAGGTGCTATTTTTGCGAGCCCATGTGAGCCCTTAATCCTAGTGGGGTGCTTTACTCCACTTCCGGCACTCGGCCGACAAGGGAGCCTTACGGAGCTTTCGCTGGACCATATTTTTCAATGTGGGATGGGCTGGCCTTTTGGACGCACAGATTTACATGGTGTTTCTTCCGGAAGCATCCTTTATGAGCAATTTTGTGTCAAAAGGTAAACGCCGTCGCAGGCTTGTGCGTCAAGGGGAACCTGGCAGAGGTTGTGCCCGCAAGCGCGTAGCAAAGACACATCGAATCGGAAAAAATTAAAGATTTGCTTCGTTGCATTGACCCTGTCAACTGAAGTCCCAAGGTTGACAGCAAGGAAGCAGTTCAAATGTTTCAAACACGACAGAAAGATATCCAAAAGGTGAGCTGCAAAGGTCAAAGGTTAACCCGCGGCCCTGTAACGTTATTTTTCCCAAGCTTCAAATTTGGTTTTGCCATTCGTTTTGCATTTTTCTTTCAAAATCGATCCGTTCAAGTCCGTTCAGATCCATTCCAGAAGGTTGAAGCATCAAAGAACTACCCATGGAATTCCACTGTGGAATCAAATCCTTGACGATTTGATCTCTCGTAATATTGCTTGTAGGGACAACGGGTGAAAAATCAAGAGAAACACCTACTAGCCTATGAGAAATCATACGCTGATGCTCCATGTCTCAGTATAAACTAGTAGAGGTCTTGAAATTTGACACCGCAACGCAATCCGCATGCAATCCGCATTTCCCCGTCGGTTTTGGTTCCACCCCGAACTCTGTCGGTCACAGCGTACTTCTACTAAAACGTCAAGTAATTTCGAACCTAGCAAGTTCACTACGAGGGCTGGTCGCCATCACTTGTATGAGTCATAGCATGTGGGGGTGATACCAAGGGGCCCAAGGGGGCCCAAGGGGCATGGTGCTTCCACTTCCGCCTTTGGTGCCTTCGAAGATTGCATGATTTCCACTGTGGAATCAAACCCTTGACGATTTGATCTCTCGATCCCTACCCTCTTAAAAATGGAATTTGAGGGGGGGGGAGTCGTACTGAAATTTCATTTTAAAATTTCATTTTTGCAATCATGTTTTCTCAATGATCAATATTCCTCATCATTCCATCTCATTGGCAAGCAGGTGAAAATTAAATACTTGCGCTTAGCTCCGGAGGAGCTAAGCACATGTCAGACTGAAGCAGCACATGTGTAGGGATGGCATCCCTCCAAAAAATTGCGCTGCCGTGATCATACTTGCGCTTAGCTCCTCTGGAGCTAAGCGCAAGTATTTTCTAACCAGTGCCCAAGGCTTGTTAAGAAATGTTACTTTACAATTCCATTCGAGGGGTTGGATCACTATCCCAGGGTTTCCAAGCAAAAAGAAGTGGAATTCGACAGGTTGGTTTTGTCCCCCCCCGCCCTCCCCCTCTATAGGGGTAGGGATATCTCTCGTAATTGCGGCGCGCGAACCTTGCTTCTAGTACATCGCATGTTCCCCCTGTTGAGCCCATTCGGAAATGCCTATTTAGCAGATATTGCAATTTGCGTGTCAAACAAGATGTCGAGCCCATTTTGGTATTCTCTAGCTGCTAGGCAGCTTTCTCGGGTCTGAATGATGAGACGTTTCTGTGGGCGCAAGTGAGCCTTCACCCCTTCAAACAACCTCAGGTGCTGACACCGAACATTTCTGTGAAACGGAAGGAAGTATGACCACAGGGTCGGGATTGAAAGAGCAAGTGCTCACCAAACTCCGATGCCCGGTAACTATCACGTTGTTCAATTTGCATGCTTTAACAAGATCAAATGCAAGCGCTCTTCTACGCATTGCGTTTGTTGTATCAGGTTCCGTGGCAGTCGAGCAGGTGAGGTCCTGTGCCTTGTCCTTGATGACTAAAGAGCTTTGATCAATGGAGATCTCCTTAGAAGCCTTCTTCAAGGCGAGCTCATTTCGCCTGGTTGCAAACTTTTCTGGTGCAAGATACACTAAGGAATCCCTTTCGAGCATGTTCAAGACCAAATCATAACTTTGGTGGGAGCACTCCTCTTCTCAGGCGTAGGCCCTCGAGCCGAGTCTGCCTGTTATCCCTCTCAGCGGGGGCAAGCTTCGACTTCGTTTGCTCATTGTGCACCTTATTTTGAAGTTCTGCAGCAGAGTCTGTGCTTCAAAAATGAATCTTTTCATGGATGCAAAAGTCCAAGGATTGGGAACGATCAAGCCGTTGAACAAAGCTCCTTGGGCCGCTTGGGCCCCTTGGGCATGGTGCTATGCCACGAAGGAGATCTTGATGGTGCCGTGTGCTTCGACCAGGGCTTCGGACCGCAGGTACAACAGCCTGTTTGAGTCCCTTTGGAGCTACCAGGCGAGACAAACCTGGCACAAGCGACGCAACCTGTTTGAAGAGGACTAGAGGGCTCCTTTCCAACTACTTGCGAGTGATAGAAATTCCCTTGACACTGCTTTGCCTGGAACTTATTTTGATCTCTTTAATTCAAGATGGCCTCATCAAACACTTCACGACCGCCACAAGCTTGGCATTTCAAGGCTTTCACGATGAACACTGGAGTCATTTGAGAGACAGAAGTACCTTCCTTTTCATTTGCAGAGCCCTGACATAAGAGCCGTAAGCAAAAGCCCCAAGGTGGCATAAGGTCATCATAAGGTGGGTGTCACAGTGGGCTTTTGCAGTTTCCGGTTTCGATTTTCACAGCGCTGGACGGACCTGAGGCCCCCCTTCCACGCCTAGCCTTGACTGACTATGGCTAGTCTCAAAATTCGATGCAATTCCAGCCCTTGCCCGGTCTGTTGTGGTCCTCCGGCGCCGTGGCAAAGTGTGATTGTAAAGGTTTTCAGCATGGCTCATCTGAAAGCCCGAGCAGCTCAGTGAAGGACCATCCGACAAAATCGGGCCCTTGCTGAAATTAAAGTGGAACAATCTTGCCACGGAGAGGGGGTAGGAGGACCAAGAGCAAAATAAAGGCGGAGACCAGTGATGACACAAGAACATGAGAATTCTGCAGTTTCACCTGAATTAGCAAGCCCATGTCACCAAGTCATCGGATTGATTCATTTTGCTGTGCAACTTTGGCAGAAATACCGGTGAGGGACCAGCGCAGTGAGGGAAGCAAGTGGCTTTGCCAACTCTCCTGGAGCAACACTGGATCAACCACAATCTCAGGCGGAAAAGTCAACTACATCACCTACTAAAGCCACTTGGAGATGTCTACTTCCACTTCAGTGTAAGCAGAGCCCTTACGGTAGCGACATTTAAATATGTGGAGGGCGGGCCAGACCGCGAGGCCCCGGAGGAGTATGAAATACCAGTTCGTATATTTAAATGTAGATACCGTACGTTTAAATGAATTGGATTCCGTATGTTTAAATGGCCGGGCGGGCCAAGGAAAACTTTGACGGAGGTAGTCTAAAATACATGTTCGTATATTTAAAAGTCCGTATATTTAAATGTAGTTACCGTATGTTCAAGCCATGCTACTTCGGCCTTCTGTGAATTCCGAAGACCTTCAGATGCCTCCATGAAGTGGCGTTCTTCCTCTGGAAGCCACGCCAAGAAGAGCCGCTGTACCTCCTGCGAATACTGAGAGGAAGAATCTTCACGTGGGTCCTTCGAACAGTTGCTGGAGGCACCAAAACAGTATATTCCTGAACCCATACGCCCCCAAGATTTTTGCTATTGTAGTGTTCGACGTGCCAGCAGCTGATGATATTGTATGTTCAGCGATGTTAACCCGGCGCCCTGAAAATTGTTTTTTTCAAAGCCGATTGTGCCACCCAGAGCTGCTTTGCTTCATCGAGCACGCCTCAAGCTTTGTGCCAATCTACAGGACACCTACTGTGTATCGCATCTACGTCTAGACAGAGATGACAACAAAATCCCGAAAAGACATTCCCCAGTCCAAGTTCTATTTCGAACGCTTTTCTGGAATTGGGGTTCCCTTGCCCATGTCATTCAAAACAGGGTGCAGCCCATGGCCCCCAATTTTTTTGCTATTGTAGTGTTCAGCTGATGATATTGTATGTTCAGCGATGTTAACCCGGCGCCCTGAAAAGTGATTTTTTCAAAGCCGATTGTGCCACTCAGAGCTGCTTTGCTTCATCGAGCACGCCTCAAGCTTTGTGCCAATCTACAGGACACCTACTGTGTATCGCATCTACGTCTAGACAGAGATGACAACAAAATCCCGAAAAGACATTCCCCAGTCCAAGTTCTATTTCGAACGCTTTTCTGGAATTGGGGTTCCATTGCCCATGTCATTCAAAACAGGGTGCAGCCCATGGCCCCCAATTTTTTTGCTATTGTAGTGTTCAGCTGATGATATTGTATGTTCAGCGATGTTAACCGGCGCCCTGAAAAGTGATTTTTTCAAAGCCGACTGTGCCACCCAGAGCTGCTTAGGGACAGCTATTGCAGGATTAGGTGCTGGCTGCATGACGAGACAGTTGACATGAAGCTTGCTCTGAACCCAACAACACATCTATGTGCATTTGGGCTGAGAGACATAAGACCAAATTGCCAA